AACAAAGGCTTTGTGGAACACCGGTATGATTAAATAAACAAGACTTTAATGACCTTTGTGTGTAGTTATCTTTCTTGTGCGTGTGTAAATGATTTGTGTAAGTCAGCATCTCAACTGACTGTGAATTTACATTTTAACACAGATAAAACAATATATGTGTGTGTGTGTGTGTGTAGAATAGAGCTGGAAGGTACCTCAGAGGTCATCTAGTCCAGCTCCCCGCTTAAGCAGGTGAACCTAGACCATTTCAGACAAGTGACTGTCCAGTCCCTTCTTAAAAACCTCCAGTGATGGAGTGACCACGATTTCTGGTGGCAAGCTGTTCCACTGGTTAATTGTCCTCACTGTTAGGAAGTTTCTCCTTAATTCTAGGTTGTTTCTCTCTCTCTCTCTCACACACACACGTGGGAATCGCAAAAAACCCCCACTTTACTTAAAGTTGTTTGCTCTTTCAGAGGTATCACTAGGATATATTGTTCCTCAGAAGGGAAAATTCCAGTTGACAAAAACTAGGCTCAGACACGCCAAAATGTCTTCAAAGCGGTAACAAAGAGGCTATTTCTGAGACAGAGCATAAAAACGACAAGATTATAAATTTTAAAAAAATAACTATCTTTGCATTAAGTGCTTATTCAGGATGACAAATGACCCAGCAATTGGGCACGCATAATATAGAAAACTCGGCTATAGTAGTTTTAAATGTCTGTCTGTGTGTGTGTTTTTTAATGCATTGGGAATTTAATGCCTTGGGCAAACTCCGGTGTGGACTGTTTTGTGATTTAACATTTGTGCCAATCCACAGAATGGGCTCCTGACGTTCAGGGAGTTAACGATGTCTTACGAACACAAGGTTGCCAGTAGCAATGGGAGAGAAATTTGTTCATTGATGGAAAAACACAGCCGGGTGTATGATAAACCTGTTGCTGTTGTCTCTGGCTAATGTCCATGTGAAGTAAAGTCCAAATGCATCTGGGAGAAAATGAAAGCAAGCCTGCATGTTCGGAAGCACGCTACCTTTAAATATTGTATCGTGGAAACTAAGAGAAAGTTGTCACAGCTCCGGTTTTTTAAGCATTCCAATAAGCTTTAAAATGTCTCTGGGTAGGAAAATTCTCGTTTGCGAATACAGGAAAGAAATAACCAATGTCTCCTTTTTTTTTTTTTTTTACTTTTCCTCCATTTATTGGTAAATAAAATAAAAATGCAACAAAGCTGAACACTGGGGGGTGGGAAGAATAAAAAACAGCAAGAAAGACTCAATGACAAAGATCTGGGCGGACCCCAAAGACATAAAAGAGGATTTTTATTGTGGTGTTGTTTTTTTAAGAGAAGAACCATGGTTATAGTGTTTTTTTTAAAGAGAAGAACCATGGTTATAGAATACAAGTGCTCAAACCCAGAATGCTTTGAAACATTATTCAAAACAAAACAAAACAGTGACGCATACACAAAAAAAATCAGCTCCCCGTGATTTGACTCGCGACAACAAAGGAAAGTGCAATTGGAAATGAAAATATTGATAAGAGCTTATAAAACCCAAGGAACGTCCCGTGTGCTTCTCCCTCCGGGATGGATATTAATACTGCTGAAGTGACGAGAGAGCAGAAATAACGAGAATTCCTAGAGTGTCCCAGGATCCATGAAAATCCCAGAGGGGCCTATCAACCGGGAACTGGCCGGTGAGGTGGGCCCAGCCAATTCCATGTGGAAATGTTAATTAAATCAGAGTCGGGTGGGAAGGCGAGAAAAACCTCTTCATCACCGTAAAGACAGAAGACAATTCTCAACCACAATTGGAGAGATTGGGGTCATTTTATGGGAACCGCTTTCTCTTCATTCAATTCTGAGCTATGATTTTAAGGGGAGGACTGAGCAGGCGTCCCACCACTTCTTTTTACAAACCTGAAAGGTGGAACTGGATTTTTTTTAAAATCTTTGATTATAGTGCACACATTAAAACACGCATATCGACGACCCCTGGGAGAAAAGAGAGATTTGTCATCTGGATCGTGAAACGAAAACAGGCTAACAAAGGTGGCACCTTCTTTTTGACAATGTAGTGTCGCCTGAATTTCTAGGGCTACCTTTTTAAAAATAATATATACATTTACCCCCCAGCCTAGCCAGATGCCAACAATTGGGCAATACAGAGGAACTCAGCCGAGAATGCAAGTTTTTCACCTTCTATTTCTAGAAATGAGGAGGGAAGCTATAACTGGCCAGCAATCCTATAAAACCGCCCCAAAATATTAGCTTGGCATTTTTTTCCTCATCCACTTTTAAAGCATTAAAGTAGATATAGAATGAATTACTTTTATTTTCCTCTCTCTCTCTTTCTCTCCCTCCCTCTCTCTTTCTCTGAATTCTGGAATTCTCAAAGCAAAGTAGAGCAAAACAATTTTAGCTTCCTGGGAAAATAAGAATATCGGTTTCTTTCCCTCACACAAGCACATGGCCATTTATAGACCAAACTTTAGAATCAAACGCCCATCTGCCCAGCACAACAAAGTCAAAAAACCAGCCAGGATAAAGTTGGTCTTGCAGAAGTTCAAAGTTGCAAAGGGAATGTTTGAGGGCTGATGCCATGGAAGACAGGCCTGCCGGGAGTTGCTAACAGCGCTGAAACAGGACCTGTTCTAACCAGAAATGGTTGTACAGAGGGCCGGGGAAGGTAACACCTTGGGAAATGAAAATGACATATATATTTTTTTTTAAGGTCAAGAGCGGGAGGGGGCAAAGGAGAGCTGCAATCTTGTTTGCCTTGAGAAGGGAGAGAAGAAATATTAGAAAAGGGGAGGGGGGCAGATAAAACTGGGTATCCCAGAGAGGTGAACGTGAAAAAAAAACCCTTGCAAAGGCATTCCTGTCTTGAGTAGACAGAACCAGTATTCAATAATTGGACTTCCGCTCGGCGCCCAGACCAGGTCACTCCAAAATAGGTAGGGATAATCTATTACTGGAAAGCAGGAGGAGGGGAAAACAAAACAAAATAAATACGGCATGGGAGACTTAATTAGCATCAAAAGGCATAAAAGCTTTGTAGCCTAAGCCGGGAATTGCTGATAAAACCAGCAGGCAAATAAGCCAGGAATCATTTAAGTTTTGTCACCTTACAAAATTTGAAGTCTTTCCAGATTGCAACCAAGTGCCGTCCCAGCCCCGCTGGTATTTTTGGGGAGAATCTGGCCAGATTTTGAGTGAATGAGCCCCCCATACAGGCATCCTTCTCCTTCTTCTTCAGCAGAGACCCCCTGAGGGCAGTGGCATGGATTAAGTCCTGTAACCAGAGGGGGTGGTGGAAAAATCTAGGCTCTCCCTACAAGCATCAACAACTGTGCTTTATCAAGGCTGCATCAGCTCTCTTCCCAGTCTGAATTTCTGCTTTCCCTCGGAAAGAGATTTATGCAAAGGTTAAACACACACACACACACACAAGCGCACACAAAGCCCGAGCTACAAAGACAGGAGTCTGCCGGAGTGGCCTGTGCAAGAGCCAGTGGGATGAGGCTAGTTAGGAAGGCCAGACCGGTCCCAGCCGGCTCAAGCCTTGTGTGTGTGAGCCAGCCAGGATGGAAAAGCTCTTGAACGTAGCCGCCCCGGACCCCTCCCGGATCCATTCCGGTCCTACCTGGGTATTCCTCATCATTATTAAATGAAATGTTGCAAATTACAGTCCTTCTGCAAAAACCAGATTTGGTGAAGGTGACAACCTGGGGAGAGGGGAGGGGAGGGCTGTGCAGGGAGGGTCATGCCAGGGCAAGGAAAACAGCCACCACCTGCAGAGAACAAAGGTGCCTGGCATCAACAACAACACCTCCCCCCCCAGTCCCCCCCTTCCAGGCAATGTCTGGCTGAAAGGACAGGAAAAGTCAGAAGTTATTTGGGGACACCCTTGCGCAGGGCTCAGATTTCGAAGAATTGGGAGAGGAACAGAGGAAGGGGGACGGGGGGGGGGCTGGCAAATAGCAAGAGAGGAAGCACAGAGGACATGGGGGGGGGATGAGGAAGTGGGGGATCAGCCAAGCTGGAAAACAGCATGCAAAGAGGGGCTGGGTAGCAAGAGGAGCTGAGAGGGACTGAATTGAACATCAATAAGTACCGGTTTGGTCCTGCCAGACAATATGTCCCCCGCCCCCCATGGCTGAAAAAGCTTGGTTCCTTCTGCGCAATGCACTGCCTGTGCATCGGATTAAAAACAGGGCTCAGTTTGAAGATCAGCACCCAAAGGAGGGGAAGGTGCTCGGGAATCAGGTTAAACAGCTCCCCCGTTGCAGCAAACAGCAGCTCCGACGGGATTCCCCCACTCTTGCCAAGATTTCGAGGGGATCCCGAGTCAGGATCCTGAGGACCGAGGGGGCTCCATCCGAATCTCCCCGAAAGCAGAGACTTCCTTGGGCACCCTGGGGTGGAGGGTTGGGGGTTGAACCCAGAAAGACGTCAACAAAAGAGAAAGATGGGAGAGGGGTGCCAAAGTCAGAAGCCCTAGTCGGAAAAATCCAATTTTTTTTTCTGCTTTGTCCTGTTTCAACCGTATCAAAGGTTAAGATGCCTTCATTAAACCGAGAAGCCGGTGGCTCCGTTTGGAGCAGAGATACGGAGTCCCAACCAGCCCAAAAGAGGGAAGTCTGCAATATTGGAAGAAAAGAAAAAAAGTCAGCAAGAGGAAAGATGAGTCTCTTTCTCTCTCTCTCTGGAATAAGGTAGAGATGTAATCCTTTCGGATGCCCGCAGGGTTGGGCAATGAAGCACTGAGATGGTTCGGTCCCAATCCACTGAGAAGGGCACGGCTGCCAGGACAGGACAGCCAGCGTTCAAGATTTTCCACATATTATGCTTCCTCCCCCCCTTAGCTTGAAGGATGTACAGTTTACGGCTCCAAAAAGAGGGCAACAACAGGCCTATTTTGTTGGCTAAAGTGCACACGATGGGCCCAGGAATCCCCAGAAGGAGGAGGAGGAGGAGGGGGGGGCACTGGAGATGGAGGAGGCGAGAGACTGAGGTTAGGAGGTGTGGTAATGCTGGCGCAGCCTGGCCTGGAGGGACTCGTGGGTCAAGTTGTGTCGAGTAATAATGCCCACAATCTGGAAGAACAGGAAGGGGGGGGGGGAGAGAGAAAAAGGCAAGTGAGTTTGTCAAGCGTGAAAGCAAAAAAACAAAACACAAAAAAACGCCAGAGGCTTCGGCTTTTTTGAATCAGGCGGGGGGACATTTTTCCAGCAGGCAGGAACCCTGACTCAATTGCCTTCTGGTTTCGCCCTGCCCCGCCCTCTGCAGTGTTGCAGAATATTCCTTCCCCCCCCAGCAACTTTTTCTAAACTAGCTGGCAAGAAAACAGGGACAGTAATTTGTCAAAATTTGGCTCAGAGGGGATGGCAGTCCTGTTCCGTTGAGGTCTACTCCCAGGAATGGGACAAGGGAAGCCGAACCCATCAAACCGGGGCAAAAAACCCACAGGAAAAGGGCACCCAAATACTCTTCCCTAACCCCCCACCCCCCAAAAAAAGTTATTTTGAAATTTCAAAGCATGCTCTTCTCTCAATCTGAAGCAGGGCTGGAAGGGAAGAAGCAAAGTGGATTCTGCTATCCAGCAACATTCCTCCTGTTTTAGAATGAACCTAAGGTGAAGTAAAGACTCCAAAGCAGCTGTGTTGAAGTCCTCAAATCTTAAAAGTTGCCGAGGTTGGACACCCCTGCAGTCTAAAGTGGCCTTTGCAGCAAGTTCAACAAGCGGTTTCAGGAAGAGTTACAAGCCAGTGACTTTTCTTCCTAGGCCACCTGAGAGCTCCAGCGCCATTTGTGGGCCTGCAGCGCCATCTGGTGGGGAAACCTCAACCTTTTTCACACACACACACACACACACACACACACACACACACACACACACACACACACACACACACACACACACACACACACACACACACACACACACACGGTTCAACTTTAAGCAAGCGCAAAGTACCAATCGGATCAGAAAAGAGGCAAGTTTTGTCCAAACAAGACAAGACTCACCTCCCCGACGGCGTTCACCACCGGCAAGTGCCTCAGCCCCATCGTCCGGAAGAGGTTGAAGACTTGGGAGATGTGAGCATTGGGGGAGATGGTGAAGGGAGAAGGGTTCATGTAAGGCGTGACGTCCTGTTGGGGAGAAAAACGCTTGTGACCCTCGGGTTCAAATTTTGATCAGTTTATCCAAATGTAAAATACAAAAAGAAATGAAAATGCTTTTTTCTTTTCTTCTTTATACCCTCTACCAGTGATGGCGAACCTTTTAGAGACCGAGTGCCGAAAAACCGCCCCGCCCCTTGCCCACAGGGCCACCCGCCACCTCCACCCAGAAGGCCCAGATGGCCCAGGCGGCCCTGCAGCACCATGGCAGCCATGCCCTCCACCTGCACCCCACAGCATCATCGCGAGACAGGGCGCGAGGGCGGAGTCTTGTCCCTACTGCCTGGCTGCCATGTCCTTGGCTGCGCTGCTCCACGTGGGCTGCACCTGGGGCGATTCTCCTCCGGGGGGGCCTGCTGGTGAGGGGGGGGACACAGGGGGAGGTGAGGCTGGGGCAATGGTGCGTGTGCCCACAGAGAGGGCTCTGAGTGCCGCCTCTGACACGCATGCCATAGGTTCACCACCACTGCCTTATACTTTTTCCTCTTCCCCTTTTCCTCCCGTTTTCCCCCTTTGTTTTCAAAAGCTTGCGACTTTCACAGAGGAATTTATTTAGGCGAACGAAGCCTCTCCAAAATCGGCATTCCAAGTCTCTCAGCATTTGTCCTCTGTAGCCTGTTCTGGACAGGCAACCTCCAAAAACAAAACAAAACAAAACAAAACACAGAGGTATGGAAAATAGTCTGGAAAAAATCCAAGATGTGCAGAAGTGTCTTTTCTAGGAAACAAGGTAGAAACTGCAGCAACTGCGAGGAGGAGGCCTTACCACAATCATGCGTGGATTCAGGAGCGTAAGATCCAGGTCATGGATGTCCGGATAGCGTGGGTAATCTTCTGACATATCTGCATACGAGAGACGAGGCTGGTTGGCGCTCTGAGACGGGGTGAAACAAGAAGAAATAAAGACAGCGCTTCTCTTAACGTGCTAAAAGGAAAATCCTAACAGGGCTTCTGGTTGAAAAAATAATAATAATGCAAGGATCTCTCCTGTCCCAGAAAAATCTGCTGGATTATCATTTATTCAGACAGCCCAGCCACTTCTTAGTCAGAACTCACCGACTGACTCTCTGCATAGCAGATTCCTCGGACAAGTAAAGTGACCAGCTGTGAGCGCAAGATCAAGCCGTGGAACGTCAAAGGCCGGAAGCGTTCTTCCATCGTCCACTCCTCGCTGGGGGACTGGTCTGGATACAGATTGGGATAGGGAGTGTATCTGGAAGGAACCACACAGCTTCATTATGGATGGCTGGAGGGAGGGAGAGAGGGAGGGAGGGAGGGAGGAAGGAGAGAGGTGATGGAAGGGGAGGTAAGATGGATGGATGGATGTGATGGAAGGATGGATGGATGAAGAAAGGGGAGATTGGATGGATGGATGGAAGAAGGAAGGAAGGAAGGATGTAAGAAAAGAGAGATGTGATGGAAGAGGAGGTGAGATGGATAGATGTGATGGAAGGATGGAAGAAAGGGGAAATGGGATGGAAGGAAGGAAGGAGTGATGGAAGAGGAGGTGGGATGGATGGATGTGATGGAAGGATGGGGAGATGGGATGAATGGATGGATGGATAGGAGGGAGGGAGGAAAGAGAGATGTGATGGAAGGGGAGGTGGGATGGATGGATGGAAGGAAGGAAGGAAGGAAGGAAGGAAAGAAGGAAGGAAGGAGAGAGGTGATGGAAGGCGAGATGGAATGGATGGATCGTTTGCATTTATCAGCTTCTAAGAATGTCCACATTTGTTCCTTGCGCAGTCAAGCAAGAGCCTGAAGGAAACTTGAGCAAATTAGAATCCATGAAAGATCTATCAAAAATTAGCTGGTTTTTAACTGCCAAACTCTTTGATATATAAGAAGGAATCTACTAATCCTGCTGGCTGGATGTGGTGGCCCAGTGGTGGCAAACCTATGGCACGGGTGCCAGAGGTGGCACTGAGCCCTCTCTGTGGGCACATGCACCATCGCACCAGCCCTGCCTCCCCCCATGGCCCCCTCCTCACCAGCAGCCCCCCCTGGAGGAGAGTCACCCTCGAGCATGGCCCACCCGGACCAGTGCAGCCAAGGACATGGCAGCTGGGCAGCAGGGACATGGCACCGCCCTTGCTCTCTGTTGCGCACAGTTGATGCTGCTGGGCGCAGATGGAAGGCCGCCTGCGGGTGGGGGCGGAGCTGGGGCAGAACGGGCAGGGGCGGAGTAGGGCGGGCGGGGATGGCCGGCTTTTGGGCGCTCGGTCTCTAAAAGGTTCGCCATCACTGCGGTGGCCTCTCCACACAGGCAGCCAAGGGTCCGCACACCTCCGCTTTTCCAGGGCTTTAGTACTTTCAAAGAGGGACCGCGCCGCCTTCCCCATGCTCACTTCCGCTCCAACATCTGCTGCAGCATGTCCTCCGTCTCGGGGGGCTCCTCGGCCGCACTGTGCTCATCGCACACATTCCTCAGCTCGCTGGAGGGATAGGACTTCATGGACTGGCTACGTTTACGCTGCTCGGCCGCCCGGGTGAGGATGCTGGATTTCTGGAACAGGGAAAGCGGGACTCCGTTTACCCAAGGGTCATTTCAGGGGAACATCCAGGATTGTTTCACTCAAGTCAGCCCCCAGAATCAAAGACAAGATCGGCCCATCTAAACACACTGCGGCCATTTTAATTACGCCTAAAAAGATAAAAACGACCCCATTTTGACTGGGCTTGACTGGCACGACAAATGTCCTTTCTCTGCAACACAACAGAGGGGTTTTACTGTTAGATTTTTCTTGAGAATCTTTTCAGTTGAGCCTGGAGATCTGAAATTCTCTCAGAACGGAGCTTGGAATCTCAATTTAAACGAGCTGAAACCCTGTTTGGCTTTCATTTTGCTGATGTCAAACAGGCAACATTCATGCACAACTAACTGACCGAGTTCTTCAGAACTGGGACATCCCTGTGAATGCTGGTTAAGCCCCCCCTGGTTAGTCTCACGGTTTTCCCAGTTGCAATGTATGGCTGTGAAAGTTGGACCATAAGAAAGGCTGAGCACCCAAGAATGGAGGCCTTTAAACTCTGGTGCTGGAGAAGACTCCTGCGAGTCCCCTGGACTGCAAGGCGATCAAACCGGTCAGTCTTAGAGGAGATCAACCCCGACTGCTCTTTAGAAGGCCAGATCCTGAAGCTGAAACTCAAGGACTTTGGCCACCTAAGGAGAAGGAAGGACTCCCTGGAGAAGAGCCTAATGCTGGGAAAGATGGAGGGCAAGAGGAGAAGGGGATGACAGAGAAGGAGGGGGCTGGATGGAGTCCCTGAAGCAGTAGGCGTGAGCTTCAATGGACTCCAGAAGATGGTAGAGGACGGGAAGGCCTGGAGGAACGTTGTCCATGGGGTCACGATGGGTCGGACACAACTTCGCAACTAACAACAACAGTTAGTCTCACAAGCTCACAAACTGAACGCATACTAACACATGATGCAAAATGTGTAAAACTAAAAAAAAATCTGTTTTATCGAAAGCTGAGCAACGGACTCATTAATCGACATTTGCCGCGGTTTCTGCTCCAGAGGAACGAGGACACCATCGATCGAAGCTCACCTTGAACTTAACATTGTTGCTGATCAGCTGGTCCCACTTCATAAACTCTTTCTCGTAGGCCCGGTTCTCGGTCACCACTGGGAAGGCGTGATGGACCGTGGTCCGGAGAATGCTGACCAGGGACTGGATCCGGGTGTGCGGGTAGACGTACATCAGGTTGGGCTCCATGATGTCGCTCGCCCTGAGCCTTGGGTGACAGAAAGGTTGGGATTAAATCAAAAGCAGGCTTCCGAAGTAGCCAGACAACTTGAGTCCGACCTGGCAGAGGTTCCCAGCCTTAAGATCCGCCGACATTACTTGTCCATCTCTGTTCTGACTTCCCACTCCAGCAGGGGGACCCCACGCAAGGCCACGTAGATGTCGTAAATCCCTTGGTTGAAGAGGTCCCCGGTCCACTTGGCCACCTGCAAACAGAAGGGGGGACAGGCTAGAGTTGCTTCCTTCCAATGACTCTCTGCCAGCTCCAATTCTCATTTTGATCGAAGGAGTTACTTGGATGAGTAACAAAATGCCTCAGTTTGAATAAACTTGGGTCCAGTTGCCCTGATTTAATCTGCGCTGTGCTGGCACCATGGTTTAAAGTGCAGATGGTTATGGTTCCGGCTAATGAAACACTTCAAAGAACTTCCAGGCATTAACCCCAAAAATACCAGACAGTTCTGCATATTGTCAAAGCAAGAATATACAGTTATTTGCAGCATTGACAGCGGTATTGCAGGCTGATTCTGCTGACTGCCAGCTGCCAGCAGTTCAGGTCTCACCGGCTCAGGGTTGGCTCGGCCTTCCGTGGTCGGTAAAATGAGGACCCAGATTGTTGGGGGGCAACAGGCTGATTCTGTAAACCGCTCAGAGAGGGCTGTAAAGCCCTGTGAAGCGGTATAAAAGTCTGAGTGCAATTGCTATTCAGATATTTTTGGCCTGGCTGATTGAATCCTTACTTTGATTTTCATTTTGGGGACAACCCCCCCCCCCAGTCTGTATGGCTAGAATTGGCTCATTCCAACAACCCTCTGACTCTCTGCCTACCCAATCTGGATGAAGAAGTTACTTGGATAGATAACGAAACGTCTCAGTTTGAATAAACTGGGGTCCAGTTGCCCTGATTTAAGCCTTTTCAGGTAAGGGAGACAGGTGTCCCAACACGGCTTCCGTGACATAATATAGTTTGATGATGCTGGCCCGTCATTGTTCCCATCTGGGAGGACTTTATAATAATAATAATAATAATAATAATAATAATAATAATAATAATAATAATAATAATAATAATAATAATAAAGTTGGAAGGGACCTTGGAGGTCTTCTAGTCCAACCCCCTGCTCAGGCAGGAAACCCTATACCATTTCAGACAGATGGCTGTCCAGTCACTTCTTAAAAACCTCCAGTGTTGGAGTATTCACCACTTCTGGAGGCAGGTTGTTCCACTGGTTAATTGTTAATTTCTCCTTAGTTCTAGGTTGCTTCTCTCCTTGGTTAGTTTCCCTCCGTTGCTTCTCGTCCTGCCTTCGGGCGCTTTGGAGAATAGCTTGACTCCCTCTTCTTTGGGGCAGCCCCTGAGATACTGGAACACTGCTATCCTGTCCCCCCTCGTCCTTCTCTTCATTAAACTAGACATACCCAATTCCAGCAGCCTTTCCTTGTATGTTTTAGCCTCCAGTCCCCTAATCATCTTTGTTGCTCTTCTCTGCACTCTTTCTAGAGTACTCGTGTTTCCCAAAAAATAAGATCGGGTCTTAGATTAATTTTTGCTCCAATAGACACATTAGGGCTTATTTTCTGGTTAGGGCTTATATTTGGGGAAATACGGTACTAAATGCGTCAGGCTGGTTGATGATTTTAACTGGGGCTTATTTTGAGGGTGGGGCTTCTATTAGGAGCAACCTGAAAAACCATGCTAGGGCTCATCTTCCGGTTGGGTCTTATTTTCGGGGTACATTAAGTGGCTCATAGAACATACAATAACAAGGTTAAGGGGGGACCCTGGAGGTCTTCTAGTCCAACCCCTTGCTCAAGCAGCAGACCTTATACCATTCTGGGCAAATGGTTGGCCAACCAACGAATCCAAAAAGGCCCAGGGGCAAGTCCTAGCAATCCCCAGGTGGTTAAAGCTACCCAGACATTCACGGCTTCAAGGCCCCGAAGGCTGCAGGGACTCACCATCAGGGTGATCATGATGGGCAACCCATAGGTGATCTCGTTGGTAGACTCGATCAGGATCACGGTGAGGCTGATGGACATGCGGACCACCCCGCCCAGGAAGGCGGCTGCTCCAATCAGAGCAAAGGTGCCGGAGTAGACGTGATCCAGGCCGATGTAGCTGGGAGGGAGGGAGGAAGCAGAGCAGAGCGGTTACCAGGGAGGCCCCCGGAGCCGAGGGGGAGCGCGGCGGGGAAACGCAACCCACGAAAGCCGGAGAGGGCACCTTTCCAGGAGGTTGGCCACTAGGCGTCCGTAAGAGGCCCCGCAGAGCAGCGACGGGACAAAAAGACCGCTCGGCACAGAAATCCCGTAAGTCCAGCAGGAGAGCAGGAAGTAGAGGAAGAAAAAGAGGGAGAGGGTGACAGGGCTGAAAGTACCTGGAAAACAGGGGAAAGAAACAGGAGGGGGGTTGAGCAGCAGCCGAAGACAAAAAGCCAAGCCAAGCCAGCCCCTCCCTCCCCCCTCTTTTAAATGTGGAAAGGGTCTGCGTGGCAGGGGTCCAGGTTACTGGCATTGGCCCGTGCCATTCATGCCAGGAAGACCCTCCCCAGGGGTCTTCGGTTCTAAGGTCTGGTTTTAACTCTTTATGTTTTAGATTTGATGTAACTGTAAGCCGCCCAGAGTTACCCTGTGCTAAAATGGGTGGCCAATAAATTTTATGGATGGATGGATACAGATAGGTGACAGAGAGAGAGAATTAGATCTGTGTGAGACCAACAGATGGACGGACGGGTAAATTTGAGAGATGATAGATGATGGATACAGATACATGACAGATAGAGATAATTAGATGTGTGTGATAGATAGATAGATGACAGATTTGAGAGATGATAGATGATGGATACAGATACATAAATAATTAGATGTGTGTGTGATTAGATGGATGGATAGATAGATGGATAGATGGATAGATGGATAGATAGATAGATAGATAGATAGATTTGAGAGATGATAGATACAGATACATCACAGATAGAGATAATCAGATGTGTGTGAGATTAGATGGATAGATAGATACATAGATGACAGATTTGAGAGATGATAGACACAGATACATGACATAAATAATTAGATGTGTGTGAGATTAGATGGATGGATAGATAGATAGATGATAGATTTGAGAGATGATAGATGATGGATACAGATACATGACAGAGATAATTAGATGTGTGAGAGATTAGATAGATAGATAGATAGATAGATAGATAGATAGATAGATAGATAGATAGATAGATAGATAGATAGATAGATAGACAGATTTGAGAGATGATAGATGGATGGATAGATGACAGAGAGGTAATTAGATGTGCGTCAGCCAGCCAGCCAGCCAGCCAGCCAGCCAGACTGATTGATGAATTGATCAGTTTGCAGGCGGCTGAGGCCAGCAAAATTAGACTTAAAGTGGCACTGGTTCAAACTCAGTACGCACATAGGTATGGGTGGAAGCTTATTAAATCTAGGATAAATTCAATCAACAGTTTCTCTTTCCACCATCATCTCCCAGCCAAGAGGGCGATCTGAATGGATCTCCATGAGAAGGCGGACAACGTGGCCATCTCTACAGAAAAGGTCCGTTCTCGTGCAAGAGAAACCAAGACAGGGTAAAATTTAATTGCTAGCCAAGTCCCACAGAGGCAGGAGAGGACGACTTAACCACCTCATTAATTCCGTTTTCACACTCCGTCCAAACGTGAGAATTTGAGATGCCCTCAGCGCGTGTGAACTGCCTGGAAGCTGCTGGCCACCTTGGAGAAATTTATTTGCTCCCGAAGTTTGTTAAAAATGCACATCCCTCAAGCACAGATTCCAAGGCCGCGAAAACCCCAGCTCCCTGAATTTCACCTCAGATTAGACGTCTCCCGATTTCTGACCCAGACCTCGGGAGCCCCTGCCCAGTCCAGCAAGGATAAAAGCGGGGAAATGAGACCCTTCTCTGCCTCGCGGCTCCGGTCGGACACTCACCCTCCTGGTGGAACAGCTGCAAGATGGCGGACTCTTGTGGGTTGAAGAACAAGGTGGCCATGTCATTGTAAGTGTTATTGTGACAGAAGAAGGTCTTGATGCTTGAATTAACCTCCTCCGAGGAAGAATCCTTGACAAAAAGACAAGTGCCCCTTTTGACTCCGGTTCCAAAATCATGTCAAGCATCCCCCAAATTTACTTCCCTAAATCCCAGGCTGTTGACTCTTCAAGATGGCGCCTTCCCTCGTGGTCGTTCTGAGGTTTCCACCTCTTGGTCTTAGTTTCAGTATTTCCCCACTAAGTGGAAGCCCAGATAGTCCTTGACTTACAACAGTTCATCTAGGGCACGGATCAGCAACCCGCGGCTCCAGAGCGCATGTGGCTCTTTGAGCCTTCTCCTGCAGCTCCCAGTCCTCCTCCGCCATTTGCAGAGAGAGAGAGACAGAGACAGGCACTTGCGCTTCCTCTCTCTCTCTCTCTCTGTGTGTGTAAAAGAGAGTGACCTCACACTATTCTCCGAGAAGCTGACAAGCTTATTGGGTGGGGCTCCTACCTTTGCTGCGTCTCCGCAGGAAGCAGCAGAAAGCAGCAGCTCTCTCTCTCTCTCTCTCTCTCTCTCTCTCTCTCTCTCTCTCTCTCTCACACACACACACACACACACACACTCACACTCACTCACTCACTCACTCACACTAAGTGGGGGAAGAGGACTGGCAGACCAAGGGCAGGAGAGAGCCAGCCCAATAAGAATGTGTGTCAGCTTGTCGGAGAACAGCGTCAGGCCAGCTGGGCAGGTAAGCAGATCGGAGAGAGGGGGAGAGAGAGGGGGGGAGGAAGAGAGAGAGAGAGAGAGAGAGAGAGAGAGAGAGAGAGAGAGAGAGAGAGAGAGAGAGAGAGAGAGAGAGAGAGAGAGAGTGGGAGAGGGAGGGAGGGAGGGAGGGAGGGGGAGAACTCATGCACAGCAGCCTCTGTTTCTTTTTAATTAAACCCTTTGATCAAGTGCTTCCTCTCAGGTGCACAAGTTTTGCGGCTCCCAGTGTTTTCTTTTCTGTGGGAAATGGGTCCAAGTGGCTCTTTGAGTGTTTAAGATTGCCAACCCCTGGACTAGAGACTGTTCAAAATTACAACGGCACTTGAAAAAAGCGATTTGTGACCGTTTTTCACACCGTTAGAGCATCCCCATGCTCAGGTGATCAAAATTCAGATGCTTGGCTGCTGGCTCACATTTATGAAGGTCGCGGTGTCCTGGGGTCATGGGATTGCCTTGGAGTGACCCTCTGACCAGCCAAGTCAATGGGGGAGCCAGGTTCACTTAATAACCGTTTCGCTAACTTAACCACCGCAGGGAATCACTTAACAGCGGAAGCAAGGAAGTTTGCGGAAGGGGGCAAAACTCATTTAACAATTGTCTCACTTAGCAAAAGAAATCTGGGGGTCCTCTGTGGTCGTTAAGTCAAGGACTACCTGTATCTATCCTCTAAAATGGAGTCCCCCCCAGTCTCTGAGGGAGACTGTGGGGTTGTGATGGGGCTCTACAAACACTTCTCTGGTGACCTTCAAAAACGGAAGGAAGGGTTTCAAAAGGACTTGGCAGGTCTCGGGAAGAGAAGGACCAGGGGAGACATGACAGCAGCCTTCCAATATTTGAGGGGGGGTCTCACAGAGAGGAGGGGGTCAGCCTATTTTCCAAAGCACCCGAAGGCCAGACAAGGAACAACAGATGGAAACGGATCAAGGAGATAAGGAGAAATTTCCTGACAGTGAGAACAATCAACAGTTTGCTTTTAGATGTTGTGGGAGCTTCATCACTGGAAGCTTTCAAAAAGAGACTGGACTGCCCTCTATCAGAAACGGTGTCGGGTCTCCTGCTTGGGCGGAGGGTTGGACTAGATGACCTACAAGGTCCCTTCCAGCTCCATTCTATTCTACTGCAACCAGTTTTGGTCACCACATTGTAAAAAAGATGTTGAGACTCTAGAAAAATGGAAAGAGAAGAGCAACCAAGAGGATCAGGGGACTGGAGGCTAAAACATAGGAAGAACGGCTGCAGGAACTGGGCATGGCTGATCTAGTGAAGAGAAGGACCAGGGCAGACAGGACAGCAGCCTTCCAATATTTGAGGGGCTGCCACAGAGAGGAGGGGGTCAACCTATTTTCCAAAGCCAGACAAGGAATAACGGATGGAAACTGATCAAGGAGAGATTCAGCCTAGAAATAAGGAGGAATTTCCTGACAGCGGGAACAATCAACAGTTTGCCTCCAGATGTTGTGGGAGCTTCATCACTGGAAGCTTGCAAGAAGAGACTGGACTGCCCTCTGTCAGAAACGGTGTCGGGTCTCCTGCTTGGGTGGAGGGTTAGACTAGATGACCTCCAAGGTCCATTCCAACTGTTAGTCTGTTACTTCAAAAAAACCAGAGGTGACAGGGCGACGCGCGTCCTTCTTTCGAGGGTTCTCCTCTCTGCATCGACATGAAACGTTCTCCGCTCACCTGCGGGCTGAAGGAGGAGCTGTTGTCTCCATGGTCCGCAGAAGAGAGCGGCCGGCATTCCCCAAGAAGCATCGAAGCGACAAATATCACAAGGGTGGTTGTCAGGCACACCAAAAGGCTCTCCAGGACTCTGCAAGCAACACAAAGCACACGAGAACCGTTCATGGTCAGGAACCCCACACGGACGTCCTCAAAGCCACGGAGGCTGAGACACCCGCCGTCCCCTCTGCCGCTGAGCCAGGGGACCCCAAAAAACCTTGATTTGAGGCACAGGCAGCCCTCGACGTACGAACACAACTGAGCCCTGAATTTCCATTGTTAAGTGAGACGCTTGTTAAGTGAGTTTGGCCCTGTTTTACGACCTTGCTTGCCACGGTCGTTAAACGAATCACTGCAGTTGGTAAGTTAGTGACAGGCTGTGAAGTGAATCTGGCTTCTCCCATTGACTTTGCTTGTCAGAAGGTCGCAAAAGACGCCACAACGGTCGTAAGTGTGAGTCAGTTGCCAAGCATCTGAATTTGGATCATGTGACTGGGGATGCTACAAAGATCGTTAGGTGTGAAAAATGATCGTAAATTGCTTTTTTCAATGCCGTTGTAACTTCGAATGGTCACTAAATGAACTGTTGTCAAGTCGAGGATTCGCCGTCCTGAACTTGAAGATGCACGGATGATTTTTCTCCTTGTGGCGCCCGAAGCAATCTGAGAATGGTGTCCCTCACGCTGACCCACAGGCCCCCCCTTTGCACAGAAAACAAAGTACAAGGCAGTCCTCGACTTACAGCCATTTGTTTAGTGGCCATTCAAAGTCACAATGACTTACGACCATTTTTCACACTTACAACCCATGGTCACCTGATTCCGAATGCTCGGCAACTGATTCACATTTACGGCGGTCGCAGTGTCCCGGGGGGGGGTTTCCTGCGATCCGGGTTCACTTTAGAACGGCGTTACTCACTTAACAACTGTGATAATTCACTTAACAAGCATGGCGAGGAAGGTCACAAAATGGGGCCAAACTCACTTAACGTCCTGCTTAGTGACAAGAGATTTGGGGCTCAATTGTGGTTGTAAGCCGCAGACTAGCTGCGTGGCCCTTTCCCCTTCATCCACAGCCAGTGTCACCCCCACACACCCTGGCACCCCAACACCAGCTATTGTCACAAACGGGTGTCCCATCTTCTGGTTTACACGGAGTGAAGCCGATGCCCATCATGCACAGCAAAGGCCCCGGTACCTGACCAGCTTGGGCTTGGGGTGGACGTTCCTCATGCGGTATTTGGCCAGCCTCTTGTTGATGCAGTTGAAGGTGGCCCCTAAGAGGCCCCCACCGACCCCCATCAGGATGAAGAAACCCAGGTCCACGACGGTCCACAGGTGGCATTTTTTGTTAGACTCTGGACACTGGAGACGGGGTGGGGGGAGGGGGGGACACAGGGAAGACAAAGGAGGGCGGTGCAAATTCCTTGCATGTTTTAGGGTCACAATCCAGCTTTGTCTAACCTGGCCCTGGAGACCTGCATGGAGGCTCTGAGGAGCCACTGTTGCTTGTCTGGAAGGCCCTGTCATGGTTACGACTGACGAACGCAACCAAGCAAACATTCTGATCTCTTATCGTAAAACTTTATTGAGTACATCAATTCGGCAGGCATGAAAGCGAAACCAGCTCTGGCAAACCCCAAGCCAAAACCCTAGAGTAAAAGTATAGAATTCCCCCCTCCCATCGCTGCACAGGTCACATTGCCCCAGTTAGGAGCTATTATACTGTTATGAGAAACTGTCTCTAAGTCGAGTCAGACATCTGGTGAATCGTCCTTGATTCTCATGGTCTGCCTTCTTTATCTTTGTAGCCTGCATTATATTTCCCCATCTCCCCCTCCCCCAAGTTTGTTGGCAAGCTAAGAAGCAATAAATGTTGCACCAGCAAAGTGAGCTTCAAGCTTGACAGGCCCCCGATCTGGAAACCCCAGCGGAAGGAAAGAAGGCTAAATGACTCTTAGCTGAGAACATTTTTCTAAATTTGTTTTAGGAAAAAACGAATGGTTTTCTAATCAAGGGAAAGAGACTCAAAGTCAAGTAAGGCCTACCTTGAACTCTCCAAAATTCAGCAAGCCCGGCAACTGGAAAGACCCCCAGCTTCCAAACTGAATGCCGGAACGGAAAAAGTTGAGGGTGAAGGTGGCGGACATGGAGCAGAAGAGCTGGAAGGAAAAGACACACACACACACAACCCAGGTCATTCCCAGGTTTGAGGTCCAAAGCTTGCCTACAGATCCTCCTTGACTTACAACAGTTTGTTTAGTGACTGTCTGAAGTTACCACCGCACTGAAAAAAGTGACTTATGAGCATTTTTCACACTTAATTCATCGTTGCAGCATCCATTCGTGGTCACATGACCAAAATCCAGACACTTGGCAACTGGCTCATATTCATGAGCCGGGGGGGGGGGGGGTTGTGTGCGTGTGTGTGTGTGTGTGCCACGTGTTCCCCTTTTGCAACCTTCTGACAAGCAAACTCAATGGGGAAGCCAGATTTCGCTTAACCATCGTGTTAATAATTTAACGACTTTAAGAAACGTCGTAAAAGGGGGGCAAAATTCACTTAACGAATGTCTCGCTTAGCAACAAAAACCTGGGGCTTAATTGTGGACGCAGGCCAATGTTCAGAGTGAAAAGGCTTGCTCAGAGCCCACCAGGAAGCTGTGAAAACGGGAGGGCAGGGTCTCCCATCGCAGCCCCAGCAAGACACCCCCCCCACACACACACATCCCAGGCGGAGCTGAGAATTTGGCCTCACCACTTTCCACGTGAGGCCCTGATTCCAAAAGGACGACCCCTCTTCCAGGCTGAACAGCATCCCTCCAATGGGGGCCCCGAAGGCTGCAGCCACCCCAGCGGCTGCACCAGCAGAAACGAAATCTCTTTTGTCCCTAGGAGGGGGAAAAAAAACCACAGGCAGCGTCTCAGGCAGAAAGAATGGACACGGGAGCAGCATCGTATTTTCCATTTGGAAAGGCAACAGGCATGTTTTAAGAAGATAATAATAATAATAGTAGTAGTAATAGTAGTAGTAGTAGTAATAATAATAATACACGCCTTGGGTGCAATCCCAAAACAACTGGAGCACCACTTGAACACCATTGGCATTGACAAATTCACCATTAGTCAATTGCAAAAGGCGGCCTTACTAGGAACTGCTTTCATCCTGCGACGAGATCTGTAATACCATCAAACATCCACATCTGCCTATCCCAGGTCCTTGGGAAGGACTCGATAGATAGACAAAAATGCCAAATCCAGTCTGAACATCTGGCTGACTGTGCGATGATCAATAATAATAATAATAATAATAATAATAATAATAATAATAATAATAATAATAATAATAATAATAATAGTAATAATAAAGTTGGAAGGGACCTTGGAGGTCATGTAGTCCAACCCCCTGCTCAGGCAGGAAACCCTACACCATTTCGGACAAATGGCTGTCCAGTCTGTTCTTAAAAATTTCCAGTGTTGGAGCATTCACCACTTCTGGAGGCAGGTTGTTCCACTGGTTAATTGTTCTCACTGTCAGGAAGTTTCTCCTTAATTCTAGGTTGCTTCTCTCTTTGGTTAGTTTCCACCCGTTGCTTCTCGTCCTGCCTTCAGGTGCTTTGGAGAATAGCTTGACTCCCTCTTCTTTGGGGCAGCCCCTGAGATATTGGAAGGCTGCTATCATGTCCCCCCTCGTCCTTCTCTTCCTTAAACTAGACATACCCAATTCCAGTAACCGTTCCTTATGTGCTTTAGCCTCCAGTCCTCTGATCATCTTTGTTGCTCTTCTCTGCACTCTTTCTAGAGTACTCGTGTTTCCCGAAAAATAAGATCGTGTCTTAGATTAATTTTTGCTCCAAGGGACACATTAGGGCTTATTTTTCCAGTTAGGGCTGTCAGGCTGGTTGATGATTTTAACTGGGGCTTATTTTGAGGGTGGGGCTTCTATTAGGAGCAACCTGAAAAACCATGCTAGGGCTTATCTTCCGGTTGGGTCTTATTTTCATGGAAACACGGTACATTAAGTGGCTCATAGAAAATACAATAACAAGGTTAAGGAGGGACCCTGGAGGTCTTCTAGTCCAACCCCTTACTCAAGCAAGAGACTTTATACCATTCTGGGCAAATGCCTCCATCTGGCTTATTAACTGGGGCTTATTTTGGGGGTAGGGGCTTATATTACGAGCGCTAGGGTTTATTTTCCAGTTGGGTCTCATTTTCGGGGAAATATGGTAGTAGGGCCCTGAAAAACCAAGGGGAAAAAAATCCAGGTGGTTTTATTCACCTGTGGACTAGCTGGAGACTTTTTAAGAGGCAAGCAGATTGCCCAATTAGACATTTCAAAAAGAAGAGGAAGATAAAGAACTCCTCCATCCATCAGTGTCAGTCGTGGCCCGCTGGCTGATTGGCAGCCAATAACGAAGGCACCCATTGATCTCAACCGCTTCTCTAAGAGACCCAGCATTACAACCTTATCCCACAGCAAAAAAACAGCTACATTTTCACCACTGGGCAAACAGCAAATTCATCCTTCTCCTACAGAGATCTGTTGTCTTCTCCACTCAAGGAGCCAGCATACCTGTCACTTCGGAAATAGGGGAAGTTAAACTGGATCTTCCTTAAAGAGATACTCTGGAACTGCAGAACAAGAGAGAGAGAGAGAGAAGGAAAATGTGAATAATTCCTGTTTTGCCAAGTATTCTGCATTTATTTATTTATTTATTTTTGTCATATTTATGTAGTGTATATCGGAGGTGGTGACCCTTTGAGAGCTGTATGCAACGAAATTTCATTTTAGTGTATGCCGATTAGTGTCCGTTCAAAGTGACAATAAAGTTATTATTCTATTCTATTCTTCATTCCTATTATTCTATTGTATTCTATTCTACTCTATTTTTCATTCCTATTATTGTACTGTACTGTACTCTGTTCTACGTCCTATTCTATTATTCATTCCTATTATTCTATTGTATTCTATTGTTCTTCATCATTCCTATTATTCTATTCTATTGTATTCTACTCTATTCTAGTCTTCATTCCTATTATTGTATTGTAATGTATTCTATTCCTTATTCCTATTATTGTATTGTATTGTATTGTATTGTATTGTATTGTATTGTATTGTATTCTATTAAAAAAAGCAGACAAAATTCACAGGGAGTCATAGTATTCACGTAGTCCTCGACTTACAACAGCTCACTTAGTGATCGTTCAAAGTTACAACGGCAGTGAAAAAAGGCACTTAGGACCGTTTTTCACACTTGCGACCATTGGTCGCATGATCAAAATTCAGATGCTTGCCATCTGACTCATATTTACGACGGTTGCAGTGTCCCACGTGATCCGCTTCTGCGACCTCCTGACCAGCCAAGACAATGGGGAAGCCATATTCGCTTAACAACTCCTTGTTAATAACTTAACAACGGCAGGGATTCGCTTAACAATGGTGGCAAGGAGAGTCGTAAGTCGAGGACTTCCTGTAATTCTATCTAAAGCGTCCATTGTTGGGGGGGGGGAGAAAAACGAAAAGGTGTTTTTCACTCTTCTTAATCTCACAGCTGTTAAGAGCAGATGCAAAGATCGGAGCGCACACCTGGGACCCAGGTATCGGTGGCCGTTCTAGGTTGGCCAAATTCTGAAATACGCAGGTGACAGAACTGGGATTTTCCTGTCAGAAATGTTTGCCCCACATGAAACCGCCGAAAAGCGTAAACTGGGTTGGAACACACCAAGGACAGATGTGGAGAAGCTTTTCCGAAAAAGCGTTCTTGCGCTTGCACTCACCTGAGGTAGGCCAGCCCCCACGACAGCCCCGCTGTGGATCATGGGGCCTTCCTTCCCAACAAAAAGACCTGGGGAGGAAAGATAGAGCCGGTTAAGGGGATGGGGATGGGGGGAACCAGCTACCTTCCAACGCCAGGAGGAGGGCCGGAAAGACCGAAGCTTGAGAATGAAGGAGGGTGTTGGCAGTTACCTCCAGCCACGCTGCAAAGGACCCCCAAGGCTTTGCAGATCAGAGTCCGAAGGCGCACGATCCCAGGGACCTTGACTCCGTTCAAGTAACACTTGATCTCCGGAATCCCAGAACCGGCAGCGACTGGCTAGAAAGGAAAGCACAACAGGAGGCTGTGATGGGCCAGAGAGGAGAAAACTAGACCCAGCTCAGAGGCCACAGCGCTGATTAGGCCTGCTTGAACAGGGGGTGAGGGGGGGGATGGACTAGAACAGAGGTCCCCAACCTTTTGGGCACCAGGGACCGGTTCCACGGAGAGAGGTTCTTCCGTGGACCGGAGGGTGAATGATTTTCTGTGCTGTGTGCATCCCGCAGATGGGGCTGTGTTTGTGCAGACCGGTTGCTGGCATGCCGAGGCCTGGCACTGGTCCCCAGACTGGGGGTTGGGGACCCCTGGACTAGAAGACCTCCAAGGTCCCTTTGGAGGTTGTTGACCTGCACCTCTAGTTGAGAGCAAACTAGGAAACAATGGCAGTAGGAAACAACAGCTCCCATTTATCTGCCTAGTTCAGGGGTAGGCAACCTTGGCTCTTTTATGACTCGTGGACTTCAACTCCCAGAATTCCTGAGCCAGCAGGACTCAGCTTGGAAACCTCTCCGTTTCCCCTCAGCGTGGCTGGCTCAGGAATTCTGGGAGTTGAAGTCCACGAGTCATAAAAGAGCCAAGGTTGCCCACCCCCCTGGCTCTTTTATAACTCGTGGACTTCAACTCCCAGAATTCCTGAGCCAGCATGGGGGAACTATGGCCCCCTTCATGACTCGTGGACTTCAATTCCCAGAATTCCTCAGCCAGCATGGGGGAACTATGGCCCCCTTCATGACTCGTGGACTTCAATTCCCAGAATTCCTGAGCCAGCCACCCTGAGGGGAAAGGGAGAGGTTTCCAAGCTGAGCCAGTCAGAGCTGAAAAAGCTTCTTGGCTGAGAAGCGAAACGTCTTCAAAGAAAGAACAGGAAAGTCCAGTTGCCTCTTGGAAAAAGCCCCTTTGGGACAATCCTCACCTGGAGGACGGAGCATCTCCACAGACCTTACCTGGATTAAGACACAGAGGCTGGCCAGGAAGATGAAGGTGAGGTTGAAGCCCAGAAGCTCAAGCAAGGAAATGGCCAGACAACCTTTCTCGCTGCAGTCCTCCACAGCTTCAGAGACGGAGTCAAGGAAAGGAAGGAGAGGCACCGAGCGAAGGGCATGAAAAAGCACCTGGCCCAAGGGGAAGGTCATTGCTTCGCCCCCACAAACTGGGCCCTCCCAAGGCCAGCAGGACTCCCCCAAGAGAGTGACCGGCACTCTCTCCCCTGTCCATTTTCAGCTTCCAAGACCAGCATCCGAACTACAAAAGATACAGTTCTGGACCACGTGGAATTTGAATCGGGTGAAGAGGCGGACAAAGAAGTCAACGAAAAGACCTACCTGCAGAGGGAAGAGGGAACAAAGTGGGCTTTAAACAAACAAACAAACATAACCCCCCCACACCAGTATAGGTGATCGATTTACAATAGTTCACTTAGTGACAGTTCGAAGTCACAACGGCACATGATTTACATCCGGACGCTTGACAACTGACTCACATTTACGCCGGCTGCAGTGTCCCGGAGTCACGCGATCCCCCTTTCGCGACCTTCCCACAAGCAAAGTCAATGGGACAGCCGGCTTCACTTAACAACCGGGTTACTCGCTTAAGAACTGTAGTGATTCGCTTAACAAACGTGGCCAGGAGAGTCGTAAAATGGAGCAAAACCCGCTTTAACAAATGTCTCACTTGGGAACATAATTTCTAGGCTCAGCTGTGGTCGTAACGTCGAGGACTGCCTGTATCTTGCTTACTGACTTTGTGGTTTACTTGTTAGCAAAGTGCAGACTGTATCCTGCATGCTAAGGCAAAGGTAATTTGGGCAGGCCTTTCTCGACTACCGGAGCAGGCCGCCAGCAACTCACCATCCCCGTGCAAACTCCGATGGCAAACACCATCATCCACTTCACCGCTTCGTAGCGATGGCCTCTCTGAAAGGGAGAAAGACAATCCTGAGGCAGGAGGAGAGACGGGTAAAACCAGATTCTCAGGCAGAGACACACAGATATCAAATACAGAGCAAGACCCAAATGCCTCATCTTCTCACTTCTAACCTGCACCCGACGTTTATTTATTTAGCGTACGGCCTATCACACATGGACTTGCAATCTGTATTAATGTTTTGCCTAGATCGGGGATGCCCAACCGGGGGTGGCTCACACCCCCCTGGAAGTCCGAGACAATATTCCAGGGGATGCAAAAACTTGGGTTTAGAAGTTTCAAAATTATAGTGTATAGGCATCATTCGTTGCTGTTATTTCGAACTTTTGCGAGGGGTGTGAGAATATATCAGAAGCGTTCTAAGGGTGCCGGGTGTAGGAAAGGCTGGAAGCTGCTGGCCTAGATTTAAAAAAAAAAAAAACATAATAAAAAGATCCTAAAGGTACTTTTTCACAAGGCAACTGGACTTTTCACAAAAGCCCGGTTGCCTCGTGAAAAAGCACCTTTGGGATAACTGTGACCTGGATGACTGAAAATCTGCACAGACATAATAAAAAGATCTATATTCAGATATGAAGGTCTCTAGGCCATCTAACCATTCAACTGCAGCAGATACTGGACTGGTATAGAGCTTCAGCTTAAAGCTGCTCATGGTGTGATCTACAGTTTGACGTGGGACCCCCACAGTCACGCCGAGGGGAGGATTCTAGGCCCCATTTATACAGTGAGTCCCGGCAGACGCTGTCTGAGGTGCAACTCCTTTTCAGGGTGGTGTCCATTGATGGCGTGGTAGTTCAAAGCCAAGCACCTTTTGCACGGGGTCATTTATAGGTCTTCCTATGTCTGCACACCTTACAAAAATCAGGTTTCTAGACCTCATGGCTGCTTTGGGAAGATGTGGTAGCTTACATAACTTGCTTAAACAAATGGTCTAATGCTTCATTTAAAAAATAATAAAACCAGAATTGTGTTTCACTTTCAGCACCAAATCATGCTCAGAGCACTGTGATAATAACCACATTGTGCCAAATGATGATCTGAGTGTTTTTCCTTCATCAACTTTTCCTGGGCAAAGGTCTGATGGGGCACCTGGGGCACGGAGGATAAAGCTACACGTCGGTCAAATCCACGCCACAACACACAGTTCAACTTTGGAAGTGCTTGCAATCAGACTTTGCCTCAGCTGCAAAGATTAGATTAGTTTACAAAGGGAAAAACTATCAATAGCAACCCATGTTAAAGGTTTTATACTTCCAGATCTGTAAACATTAGCTATTTACTAAAAGAATAAGTGGACCTTGATTTAACAACAGTTCATTTAGCGGCCAAAGTTACAAAAGCGCTAAAAAAAGCAACTTACAATCGTTTTTTCACACTTACGACCATTGCAACATTGGCAACAGACTCATATTTATGACGGTCACAGTGTCCCGCGATCATGTGATGCCCTTTTGCAACTTTCAGACAAGCAAATTCAATGGAGAAATCAGATTCACTTAATAACTGCGTTACTAACTTAACTGCAGTGATTCACTTAACAACTGTGGTGAGAAATGTCGTAAAACGAGGCAAAATTAACTTTACAAATATCCCACTTAGCAACAGTGGGCTTAATTGTGGCCATAATTCTAGGACTACCTGTTTCACTGTTGCTCTTTACCTGGATTGAGAATATGGAAGGAAGTATGTATTTGAAATGTACTGTATCTCTCACGTATGGCTGTAAAAGTTGGACCCTAAGAAAGGCTGAGCGCCAAAGAATGGAGGCCTTTGAACTCTGGTGCTGGAGAAGACTCCTGCGAGTCCCCTGGGCTGCAAGGCGATCCAACCGGTCAGTCCTAGAGGAGATCAACCCCGACTGCTCTTGAGAAGGCCAGATCCTGAAGTTGAAACTCAAGTACTTTGGCCACCTAATGAGAAGGAAGGACTCACTGGAGAAGGGCCTGATGCTGGGAAAGATGGAGGGCAAGAGAAGAAGGGGACGACAGAGAATGAGGTGGCTGGATGGAGTCACTGAAGCAGCAGGCGTGAGCTTAAATGGACTCCAGAAGATGGTGGAGGACAGGAAGGCCTGAAGGAACGGTGTCCATGGGGTCGCGATGAGTCGGACACGATGAGTCGGACACGCAACTAACAACAACAACAACATATCTCTCACAGACCCAACACGCTTTGAAGAAAATTCAAATATTCCTGCGTTCCCCGGAATGCAAGTGGCCTTTCACCATTTGATTTATTAAACCTATAACCCACTGCAGTCAAGACTCTCGTTAGGTCTTACCTTGTTGTCGAAACTTTCTAGGACTTCCAAGTACGGTTCATTGAGGCAACGATCATAATCCAAACTCTGGAGAGGAAAAACAAAAAGCAAATATTTTCAGAAAGGCTTCCCAGCCTGAAGAGACAAGCAGGCTATAGCCAACTTTAAGCAAAAGCCACTTAATGTGATAAAGTAAATAAAGCCACCCTCTCTGGAGTAACTGAAAATGCCACCTTAAAAATCACTTCATGGCGATTAAACCTACTTGTTCAAGCCATTTTCTTTCCAACAGCATAAAAGAAATTTGCCACTGTTTCAGGCTGTTGGTTTCAGGCTGTTGTTTTGACCCTCCTGTCCTGCCTACAATATTGAGATTTCTTTGTGGTCTCCATTCCAAGGATACTTCACTCTGGCCTTGCTTAGTTTCCCAACATCAATTAAAATCACAGAGTTTGGCAAAAATACTCATTTAAAAGACTTGAGGAGACATACTCGGGAATAATACAGCTTTGGGCAACTACTCTAACTTTATTTTTAGGCTTTTAGGGGCGAAGCAACAGTTCCCAGCAATCTCTCTCTCTCCTCTTTTCTGGAATGCTTCTTCCTAACAAATCAAGCTCATTTTTGAGGTATTTCACCTCATAGTCTTTACGTGGCAGAATTTCATCATCTTCTTCCTCGGTCTCTCCAAGGATGGTCTGCAAAATAAATAAATAAAAGATCAACAAGGTAAAGGCAAACCAGGTATATTCACAACGGACCAATATTCAGGGGGGGGGGGAACCCTAAAAAGCAAGATTTTGCATTAAAATGCATTTTGCATTTTGGAAATCCAGGCCACGCTGAAGTTGTTGCTTCGCAAATGCCACCGTCCAAGACTTCTCTTTTTATTTCAAGTTTTTTGTTTTTATTTCAAGCTTTTATTTCTGTCGTTCTCTTGTGCCATGCTCTTATTGCACGCTAATAATAATTTATTTCTTTCATTTAAAAAAAAAAAATTCTCCTCCCCTTCCAAAACCCTCAGAAAATCGGCAGCACCTTTTCAATTTTCACCTCTGGATTCAACAATGAACTCTGTACGTGCTCAGAGGCACCCTCTTCGCTTTGCCATTATAGAGTAAATAGCAAAAAAAATGTTAGCACACCCAGCCTAATTTGCATATGCAAATGTATGCGCCCCCCCGTCAATCTTCTGAAAGGGGGGGGTCCAACAAGGAAAGCCCCTCCCAGGCTACCCCTCACCAGCTCTTCCGGGGTGCGGCTCTCGCTTTCCCCACAGCAGCAGCAACAGCACCCGCAACAGCCCCCCCGGCACCCCGCCGCCATCGTCGCCCCTCGAGGAACCCGCTCCGGTGGCCCCCCAAAAAGCAGCCCGCCTTCGCGCATGCGCCGGCGCAGAAAAGCGGAAAAAGGGGGAGAGGTTCCTTAAGAAAGCTTTCCGCTCATTGGAAACGGCGGCTTCAGGGCGGAAGTTGTTCGTTCCGCCATCTTGAAAGTGGGCCGTGAAACAGGAAGCGGAGCTGTAGAGATAGGAAGGGAGAGGAAAAAAAGTGAAGAGATGCATACTTTTGTGTACAGGAGCCTTCCTCAAGATTCAAGAATGACCATAAAGATCTTTTTAAAATAAATAAATAAATAAATCTATTATTAGTAGTGGCATTTCTTATAGAGTCGGCAGCAGTCGGGAGACCAATACATTTAAATAAATAATACTAGTAACAGCAATATGTCCATATTTGCTTTTTTTTTTCTCGAAGAACTGAGCTTGGGTTTATATTATCCCAAAGCAATATTGCTTTTCCTGTGAGAAAATTCAGAGCGATTTACAAGATGCATGCAATGTTAAAAAAAAAACAAATTTTAAAGCAATGAACAAAAATCCAAAAATCCCCCCTAGCTGACAAATTGACAAATCAATTGCAACAATAGATTTTGTTTTTTGCCCTTTTTAATTCACGTTTGTTTTGTTCTTGTCTAGTTTTGTCGGTGTTGATTTTTTTTGTGTGTTTTGTATTTTAATCTTCTGAATAAAATAAAAAATGAAGTAAAAAAAAAACCCTAAGAAAATAAAAGCGATGCTCTGATGGGGGCCTTTGTGGCAAATTAAACCGTCATACTATCAGCACTAACGAAGGAGCGCGAAGGAGGAGTTTCAGCGATATATGTTTTCAGTAGAAACCACCTAAATCCTATGGTACAATGTCACAATAAATACAAATACAATAAAACAATAAAATTTTAATTCAACCTTGAAAAACATCCATTTGGCTGTTTTCAGTGCCTTCCCTTAATGCAGGGCAAGCTGTCTCTTCTGTGACTTTCCAAACGCCCCATTCAGACATATTCATTTCCACCAATTTGCATGTCTGGATTGCTATGGAAAATAGGCAAAAGGTTTTCAGACAGGCAGAGCCTGCCTACACTTCCAGCCAGACTCCAGATGTCGCAACCACTGAAGGCTTATGGCACATTAAAGAGCGATAAGCCTGTCTTATCTGGTTAATCAGTGACTAGAACGATTATTATTATTATGTTCTTGTGGGCTGAGGTTGCCCCAATCCTTTTATTTTTAGCTCTCTTGCAATCCTTTTATATGCGGGCTACGCATTAAAAACACTGGAGGTGGTTTGCAAAAGGAATTTGCTACCTGCTGCCCAGACACGTGGTGGCTGAAATGAACAAAGAATAATTCATGCTCCAAAATTAAGGCAGATTAAGGAAATAAAATTATTTGGATTAGATTCTTGGCTCCTTGCTTGTTAAGCTATGATGCAAAGGAGGGGGAAAAAAAAACAGACTTGTGGTTAATGAAGCAACCACGTGCCAACAATAATAACAACGAATGAAAGACGTCTGGGATTTAAAAGAAAGGATAAAATGACGCCAGCGCTGCCATCTTGGAAGCGGGCATCACGCCACTAATACAGAAGGGGCGCGGCTGTAGTCCCGAGGGGGCGTGGCTCTGCCATTGTATTTAGAAGCGGAGATTTAAAAGAGGGAATTGCTGAAAGGTGGCCGCGCATGCGCTCCGTCTCTCTCTCTCTCTTTTTTTTCCCCCCTCTCTGGTATCCACGCCGGCGCGAGAGCCCCGCAGGTGTGCGCGTGAGGGAGGGAGGGAGGGAGGGAGTCGCCGCGAGGAAGGTGAGTGGGGGCGCGCGCACGCGGAGCGTTCCATCTGTCCGGGCCGTGGGGGGGGGAGGCGAAGTGGAGCCCCTTTCTGTAGAGGCGACTGGCAAGGGAAGGGTGGAAGAAACCATTAAGAAATGGGAGGGGGGGGAAAGCACTACTTTCGGGTTTTTTGGATCTGGGTCTGGAGGGGGGGCGGGGCGAAGAGGGTCCTAAAAGTTTTTTTCCCAGCGGCCACAAAATAATGAATTTAAATAAATAAATAAATAAATAAAGCCGAATCTCCTTCCCTCGCTGCGCATCCCCCCCCTCCCGCCTCCTGGGGAATTTAATGCCTTTAAATTCAGTGAATGGCCCCGTTTTGCATGCGAATGAATCAAAAGGCTTGGGAGAAGCGTGCAATTTTTCCCTTGCAAAAGTTTTGCACCTCCCTCCAGCGCTGCCTTGGGGTGTTTTCTTTAACCAGCGTAAATGAAAATAAAATCCATTTTACCCTTTGCAGGAGCCAGTTGCAAACTAAAGGACCCTCGTGCAATTTAACGCCCCCCCCTTCCCTGCTCAATTTCCATAACTCAGCAAGGAAGTTAAAACCCTAATGGGGATTGCAAAGAATATTTATTTCCTTCTGCCCCACCCTAAAAGAAAATATTTCCTTACTATAAATCTCTCTCCCTCCCCCAGGTTTATAAATAGGCACCAGATTTTGCCCCCTTATATGGGTGGGCTGAGATAATGGAGGGCAGGGGCCAGATTTGGGGTTGACCTCCAACTTTCAGGACCTCCAACTTCCTTTCCTGCTGCGATACAAAATGCCACCCTCAGTGGGTGGACCGCAAGTCCCATCACCAGTAACTACAAGTCCCATCCTCGCCACCCACCTATCTTATGGGCCAGATGAATGGCAACTGCAGTCTTAACAGGGGAGAGCAGTGCGGTGTAATGATTAAAGGCATTGGACTAGTCTTCCCTTGTACAGGAAAAACAAAACCTGGGGGGGGGGGTTGGACCAAGCCCCCAAACCATTAGAATTAACAGTGACCCCAACTCACCATAACTAGTCTCTAAAAGGAGAGAAGATTCTGGATCAAATGTTTATTTTTTCCTGCAATTTTGCCATCGGCTAAAATAGGATTGAAAGACTTTAATGATGTTTTATTAATGAATAATAAGATTGTGATAATTTTTATCATTATTATTACTATTATTATTACTATTATTACTATTAGTACTATTCCTACATGAAAGATCGATCCCTTCCACCATGCCTGCTGCGGAAGAGGAATTTAAGGAGATCTGACACATGCACACACCCTCCAGCTTTTTTGCTGTTGTGATTTGCGGGAGCCAAAACTTTGGACTTGACCGATGGAGTTGGCCGAAAAAACGCCCATTGCAAGGTGAGTTAAAAAAAAAAAAACAAAGAAAAAAAACCCCCAGCTTTGGGATCCAGTTTCCTGTTGTTTCTTTGTCTGAGAAATAATCTCACCCTCAAGCCGCTTTGCTTTCTCTTGGAAACCCACCTCCCCATTGGTAGAGAAGCCCGGCGCTGATTGGCAGGGACATTTAGATAAGGGGCTGCCTGCACATTGTGTCCCTTGTAAGCGAGATTGTGACACCCACAAGGTGTGACTTCAGGCATCGGGCGGCTTGCATTTCTCCAGATTGCTGGAGAGGATCAGATCCAGCAGCATGGACCGGGTCCAATCCACCGGGCAAATGCTCGGGTGAACCTGGTCCAGGAGCCCCCAAAATTAGCAAACTGGAAGGCCTGAATCGGTCAACCAAACTGGAGGGATCCTCCAGACCCCGGTGGAAAATTGCCCAGAGGGACAGCACCGACACCAGGTGAGTGAATGCTTAAGGACCCCTCTCTGGGCATCTCTTCCCTTCCTCCTCTGATGGGACCCTGAAAACTAGCCGTGCCCCCCCCTTCCCCAATTGGAAACTGGCGGTCTGCACCATTTACAAGCCCAGTTAGCGGCCGAGTGACACCAGGACGGAAGTGTAAATCCATCGCGGCTGAAATTTCTTATTAAATTTTGCTGCTCCTTCCTGCCTTTTCTGTTTGGGGTGCAACCCATCCCCCCTCCTTCCCATTCTCTCTTCCCTGTTTTGTTTTAGTTCCGATGTGGCCGTGCCTGGGGAATTAATCCCATCACTTGCAGCGGAGATTTGGGGCTGGTTAATCAGCCGAGCGCTGATCTGTTGCAGAATAATTTGGCTCTCCTGATAGGCAAAGTTCGGGCTGCCTTTCCCCCCCCCCCCATACCTTCCTTCACAGGGTCATGAAGAAGTCATGCCTGGTGTCCAGCCCAAATTGCTTTTTTAAGACTTCCAGTCCTTTTCAGACAAATAAAAATAAAACCCAGAGGGCTCTCCCAAACCACTAGCTAGAAAAACCTGCTTGAGCGAAGGCTGGGAGAAATTATTAAGCCCCTTGGAGTTGCTTGACTGCGAGTTGGGCAGTGTATAAATTTAATACTTAAACAGTTTTGTTTAGTGACCGATTGAAGTAATAATAATAATAATAATAATAATAATAATAATAATAATAATAATAATAATAATAATAAAAAAATGTTGGAAGGGACCTTGGAGGTCATCTAGTCCAACCCCCTGCTCAGGCAGGAAACCCTATATCATTTCGGACAAATGGCTGTCCAGTCTCTTCTTAAAAACTTCCAGTGTTGGGGCATCAGGTGGTTCCACTGGTTAATTGTTCTCACTGTCAGGAAGTTTCTCCTTAGCTCCAGGTTGCTTCTCTCCTTGCTTAGTTTCCATCCGTTGCTTCTTGTCCTGCCTTCAGGTTTCTTTGGAGAATAGCTTGACTCCCTCTTCTTTGGGGCAGCCCCTGAGATACTGGAAGACTGCTATCATGTCCCCCCTCGTCCTTCTCTTCATTAAACTGGACATGCCCAATTCCAGCAAACGTTCTTCGTATGTTTTAGCTTCCAGTGCCCTGATCATCTTTGTTGCTCTCCTGGTTGAGCAGGGAGTTGGACTAGATTATTATTATTATTATTATTATTATTATTATTATTATTATTATTATTATTATTATTATTATTAATAATAATAATAATAATAAAGTTGGAAGGGACCTTGGAGGTCATCTAGTCCAACTCCCTGCTCAGGCAGAAACCCTATACCATTTCGGACAAATGGCTGTCCAGTCTCTTCTTAAAAACTTCCAGTGTTGG